AGAGAAAGCCAGCAGCTTCCTTAAGAGTGGTGAGACACATCAGTCATGATGAGAAACTACTGAGATGGAAAAATTATTTGTTTATTTCTCAACACAGCTGAATGTCAGACACAATCTGCTCTAACATTAACAAGCATTAACCATTATGCAACTAAACAGGATACCAGAGACAACTGAACTATAAGCATTTTGATGGGGCTTACAGCACATTTGGTTATGGTGATGGGAACACATGGTATATATAATTTCACTCTTTTGTTAAAGCAAAATTAAAATCAAAGAAATATTCTAAATTATTAAATCTTCCACACCACCAGGTTGACTGCCTTTGTCCTGAGGTCTTTTGGCAAAGCTCAGAAATACACATTTATTGATCCACAAATTATTCAGAGTGCAAAGGATTGGTTAATAAGCAGACGGGATTCAGACGGCTGTTTTATCCAACAGGGAAGACTGTTTAACAACAGAATGAAGGTCTGTCTGTCTGTCTATCACTATAGCAATCATCTGGAAAAAAATCGAGTAACTAGGAACCTTAGCTTTTATTTTTAAACTTTTCTCTTTCAAACATTTAAACGCAACATTAAAACATTTTTTCAAACAGTGTCTAAATTAACATCAAGGTATTGATTGTGTTGCCTTACCCCAAATTCTCCTCTATCATAGGGTGGAGTGACTGATAATGTGACCATGACGGCCTACATTACTGCATCACTGCTTGAACTGGAAACTCCAGTCACAGTAAGTTCATCATCAGGAAAATCAGTATAAACTCTTAGTAAAATGACACTCGCAGCATCTGTTTTTCTGTTTGCGTCTCAGGATCCTGTTGTCACTAAAGGCTTGTCATGCTTGAGGTCTGTCATCGAGGATGTCAAAAACACTTACACCACTGCTCTGCTGGCCTACACTTTCAGTCTGGCTAGAGACACCAACACTCGACAGCAGCTTTTCAGCAAACTGGAGGATCTTGCTATTTCAGATGGTAAGAGATTGCTTTCTGATGACTTTCTGCACTGCACTGTTGCTTTTGTCCTGCTGGTTGAGTTTGTCTTTTGTGTCCTAAAGGTCCTCTTGTCCACTGGTCTCAGTCTGCATCTGCTGATGACTCTGCTTCTCTGGATGTGGAGATCAGCTCATATGTGCTGCTAGCTGTTCTCACTGCAGATTCACTCACTACAGCTGATCTGGGCTTTGCTAACAGGATTGTCAGCTGGCTTGTGAAGCAGCAGAATGCCTATGGAGGATTCTCCTCGACACAGGTTCCTCAAATCAAACACATTATTGCTGAATGGCTAAAATTGTCACATGACTGAACTCATTTCTTTCCCAGGACACAGTGGTGGCTCTTCAGGCTCTGTCTTTGTACGCCACCAAAGTGTTCAGCTCTGACGGCTCCAGCACAGTGACTGTACAGTCAGCAGGAGACTCTCACCACTTTGATGTCAATCAGGACAACAAGTTACTGTACCAGGAGAAACAGCTGGCCAATGTGCCAGGCAAATACAGCATTGAAGTCAAGGGCTCAGCCTGTGTGTCTGTGCAGGTCTGTAGATAGCTTTGTTTAATCACTTCCTCTCTTGGCATTTTGGAGTTATTCTGCTTTGAGATTTTTTATAAATGGGTTTGTTTGTTTTGACTCTCTCAGATGGCTCAGTTCTACAACATTCCCACTCCTACTGAAGCTAAAACATTAAGTATTGATGCTGAGGTTGAGGGAGATTGCAAGAAAACCTTTGGACAAAATCTAATGTTAAATGTCACTGTGACGTAAGAAGTGTAACTTTACACTATAAGACCTGATTATGGTTGTGGCTTTAGTTTATTCATCATTAACTCTGATGATTCTTGTTTTTGTGTTTTACAGATATGATGGTCCCCAGAATAGAACTAATATGGTTATTGTGGACATTAAACTCTTATCAGGATTCACAGCTGATACATCAATGGTGTGTTTTACTGTTAAGGGATTCATTTGATGCATTGATTCACTGTGCATCTAAGACAGAATCCATGGTTAGGCATGTGGTGTTATAAATGCATTTATTAATCTTTAATGGGTTTTCTGTAAAGCTTAAAACTCAACGGCAGTCATTTGACTCTTTGGATTTTTTTGGGCACGCACCTGTGGAGCGGATTGATTCCAAAGATGATCATGTCCTTGTATATCTGGAAGAGGTGAAAGATCACCAATGTTTCTATTTTAAAGTTACAGTGATTGACTTTAAAATCTTCAATAATTTAACTTGTGACCTTTTTTATCTTCTTGAAGGTTTTAAAAGAAGACCCAGTGAATCTCCAGATTGGACTGAATCAGATTATTCAAGTGAAGAATCTTAAGCCAGCTGTTATTAAAGTGTATGATTACTACCAGACAAGTAAGATTTTATGAGTCATTTGGGTTTTATTATATTATTCAGAAGTACCAGCTAATATTAAACTAATTTCTCTGTATCAACATTTCCCCTAGGTGATCAGTCAGAGATGGAGTACTCGTCCCACTGTGAATGAAGATTCATGCTTCACTTCTGCAGCTTGGAAAAAGATGTTAAATACTCACTAAATGTTTAATGGTTGTATCTCAATCAGCACCCAAGCTCCTAGCTTAGCTCACTATACATTGGAACACACAGAGTGTGACATGAGAACGTACTTATACATCATCAAAACTGGAATTTAGAAACAACAGCAGAACTAATAATTTATATATATTATTTTTATTAAGATTTAAAAGTACAATTTAGCTTAATACCTCGACTGTTTCATATACCAGCAACATTTCAACCAATAAACAGTTATACATTTTTGACTGATCGTTCCTATCCTGTCCAGCTATGTTCATTCATGTAAAAATATGTTGCATTATGGAACTTTTCAGAGTGTGAACACTTCAATGTGCTGTAAACATTTTGTGACTAAGACAGCACTTAAAATGGCTGACACCCTGATCAGTGCACTGACTACTTTACAATGTGCTGAGTGAGATGAGCCCTACATTTTTAGTAGTTTTTCTTTATCCTGAGCAAAGTAATTTCCAACTTTGTGTGTAAATGTACAACAAAAGCAAATGCATGTAAACAAATCACTTTGAATGCAAATGATTAAAAGAGTTTACAAAAACGATTTACAGTCCGTCTTTATGTTCTTCTTGTAACTGCAAGACATCCTTTCATTCAATCAATCATTTTCTTGTCGGCTTAGTCCCTTTATTAATCTGGGGTCGCCACAGCGGAATGAACCGCTGACTTATCCAGCAAGTTTTTACACAGTGGATGCCCTTCCAGCCACAACCCATCTCTGGGAAACATACACTACGAACAATTTAGCCTACTCAATTCACCTGAACCACATGTCTTTGGACTGTGGGGAAAACCAGAGCACTCTCTTTTGAAGCTATTAAACATAAAACAGAAATTCTATATTTCTATTTTTCAATATTTATTTACTGTAGGCTGTAACATTATATTTCAATTGAGGAAAAGAAAAAATAATAAACATGCCATTTAGTACACTTTGGGGATAAAAATAAAGAATATGACATTAGTAATAAAGGGTTTTATCAGTGTCTGTTTATTTCAGAGATTGTGTAATGTTGATCATTTGTACCCATTATTTTCCAAATTGTTTCATATAGAGTCATGTTAAAAGGTCAAGTTAAAAGTTGCCTGTACAGTATTATTCAAATTTTGCTCTATAATATTACTAAATTGTATTAAATCCAGCCAAATGTTTAAAAATATTGATTGTTCCTATATATGGCAAAATATAATATAATTAGTCTATGTCTAATTAGCCCTATGGCCTGGAGTAATAATTAACCAGGTTGTCAGCAGTGGTGTGAAGTAACAAATACAAATACTCAAACTCATACTTTAATTAAGTAGTTTTTCCTCAGGAATTGTAATTTAAGTAATTTTTAAAATGTGTACTTTTACTTCCCTTGAGTCCATTTTTAGATCAGTATCAGTACTTTTACTCCACTACTTTCCTTCAACCTGCAGTCACTACTTTATTATTTCTTGTCTATGGGGACGTTGTGTGACAATATTAAAATATTAATAAATACCTACTATAGCATTTAATATTATTAAATTTTAATAACTTTCTTAAAATATAAAGACAGAAATTTTTGTAACGCTGAATGTCTCTTTATATCATAAAATAATTATTCCATATAATCTCAGGGATAAGCAAGTGTCTTTTTAAATATACATTTAAAATCACAGATTCAGGTAAGAGCTCCTGGTTCAAAAATATTTGACTGTGTTGTCAGAGAACTTACAAATGCAAACATCAGTTTACTGTAACTCACCCACTCACTTTGAGTGGGTGTAATATGTGCTTTTGGATGTTAGTTATCAGAGCCCAATATTTGTTTTGGTCAAAGGTCAGTAGCTGTGTATTTCTATGTAAATTAAGTTAAGAGTCAGGGTATGTATTCAGGAGATCACATGTTTATGCTCACTACACTGTAAAAATGCTGGGCTCCACACAATTCCTTCATGTTATCCCAACACAAATTGATTAAGTTAACTTACTTCATTTTTCAAATAGAAGTAGATTGAACATAAAACAAGTTGTGCCAAAAAACAACAAACAACTAAAAAATTGTGTTTGTTCAGCTCATTTTAAATAAGTAACAAAATAAAATCCTTTTTTGAGTCTATGTAATAAAATATTTCAGTAAAGGGCTTGCTTGTTATTTGACAAAAATGAAATGCCTCAACCTTTCTTTTAAAATAAAGATTTACATGTTAGAACATCAACAAAGAAATTCAGTTCTAAAATGTTCATTAAGGAAACTACACTAAATGTTTATTTTAATGCTTACGGCTAAAACATTTGTATGTTTTAATCTAATATTTCAGCGCTTTAAATCTTTTTTTTTTCTTTTGTATAAATTAACAAATGTGCATTTGCACAGGCTTTAAACTATATTAGCTGGTTGAATCATTAATCAAATGATCAATATTTTTTTAAGGCCTCCTTCAGCAGGAGAGTCTCTTTATAAGGGACAGTTCAGGTCATCTCATGGCCTGGACACTCGTCATCATGGCTCTGAATGTTAGCTGTTGTTGGAAAGGGCTCCTCCTGAACTTTTTCCTCTTCGTCTGCGTCCAAGGACAAGCAGCAGAGCCGTAAGTTTTAACACTTTTTTTTTTTCCTAGAGGAAGGCAGTTATTTACTATTGTGTACATTTTTCAGTCTCTTTTATTGTGTATATTTGAATAATATAAAATTAAAATGATATTTTTATCAAAACTTTTATCATCAAAATATGATGATAACAATGTGTTACAGTAAATACTTTACATTTATCAAAACTATTTTTAAATCCTCTTTTAAATGGAATTTTCAATGGAAAAACGGATGCCACTTTATTTTTTGTTTTACTGTTGTTATGAATGGGGTGATGGTAAAAGAGGTGAAGTTCCAAACACAGCTTTATTATAATGCAGGGTGGTTAACAGGCAGACAAACAATCGAAATCCAATAAAAACACAACGTGGCGTCTCTGTCGTCTGAACACTATGACAGTAATGAATATTAATGAAGTTGCACAATAGAGCACGCTGATTGGTTTGAACCAAGCCTTACTCATGCATTAATGCAGCACACTGTAAGACTGTAATAAGACACACTCTGACACAGACGTCCAGTCTGCACGCTGGAATACACGCTATTATCTCATGGTCATGATGCAGCTTCAAAAATTCGTTTCAAACCAGAAGTACAGATTTGCTTGAAATAATGCAAAAACAACCAATTTACACTTTTTAGTGAAATATATGTGTCCTAATAGTGTTTTTAGCAGTGTGGGACACATATACGACTGTCAACGGCTCAAAAAATGTGTTTTGGTGTTTCGTGAACCTTTATTTAACAATTATTATCTCACATCAGATCTTTCATGGTGACTTTTCCTGCCGTGATTGAGTCAGGATCTGAGGCCAAACTGTGTGCAAGTCTTCTGAAGCCCAATGAAAGTCTCGTCATGAACATATATCTGGTTCATGGGAACCAGAGCACATTACTGCTGCAGGAGAATGCTGAGCAAGAGTTTCACCGCTGCTTTAACTTCAAGGTCTTTTGCAAAACAAAATGAATTTAATACAATTGTAAACATTTGCTTTTTTAAAGAAAAGTTGCTGTCTGTTGCAGAAGTTGAAAATGCAAAACATTATTTCTCATCAGGCCCCTCTAGCAGAAGCAGAATCAGTGCAGAAAATCAAGGTTGAACTTCAGGGAGAGTCCTTCAAGATGACTGAGGAAAGATAAGTCATGTTCAAATCTTACGATCCTCTGACCTTTATCCAGACTGATAAACCCATCTATATGCCTGGACAGATTGGTGAGTTGTGAATGTTTCAAAGTCTAAATTTTAGTAAATAATCCTGGTGTCGCTAACATCTTACCCTGACCACAACTGATGTAACATACATTAAAGGGCCATGAAACCCCCTTGTTTCAGCAGAGTGTTTTCACAACTCTACTTAGGAAAAAGTCAGAAAAGTGGGCGTGTCCAGCTCTGTTTAGGGGGAGTGTCGGAGGAAGAAAAGAGGCTTTGTGTGGGAGTGTCTATTTGGGTGCGCTGAATTTCAGAGTCAAAACACACACCCTACAGGGGAGAAAGAGACTGTTTACATGGACATCTGTAGTCGAACTATTTGCCAAATTATTAAATGGTGGACTTTAACTGCAGTTTGGCTCTTTCATTCAGGCAATTCATTCATGTCCCTCGCCACTAAGGAGATATTTGATTCGAGGAACTGCTCTAAGCGTGTATTTTCATGCAATGTTTGATACCGCACGGCGAATGAGAGAAAAAAAAAACAGCATTTCCCGGAAACTTAGATGCACTCAGCAGGTAGTGTCAGAAAGCTGCGTGTGTTATTCCGGTCACAAAATCCTACATGAGGTTATAGTTTGGTTGTAAAGCTAACTTGTTTACACTCGGTGCAATAGTTTGTTCGATACAAATAAAATATGAACTGAATAAACAAAGAGCACTGGTCGCTCACTTACCAAATCTGAAGAGACAGGACAATCACCAGCAACTAGAGCCGCGTCTTTATTAAGAGAAGACTACAAGCGAATCCGGATCTCAGCGTTTGCAGATGAGAACAGCTCTCAGGTAAACAATAATCCTCCTTAGACACGTAAGTTATTGTTGTCGAGCGTCGCGTACACTGTTAATCCTCACGTGAGTCTGCGCTCTCACAGAGAGAAAATGAAAACAAAACTTAACTGCAGCAAACTATAAAAGCAACACTTCACGCTTGTTTTGCCAACACAACGTGGCGTCTCTGCCGTCTGAACAAGCTTTACTCATGCATTAATGCAGCAGGCTGTAAGAGGTAATAAGACACACTCTGACACAGACGCCCAGTCTGCACGCTGGAATACAACGCTATTATGTCATGACCGTGACGCAGCTTCAAAAATTAGTTTCAAACCGGAAGTACAAATTTGCTTGAAATAACGCAAAAACAACCAATTTACACTTTTTAGTGAAATATATGTGTCCTAATAGTGTTTTTAGCAGTGTGGGACACATATACGACTGTCAACAGCTCAAAAAATGTGTTTTGGTGTTTCGTGACCCTTTAAGTAAAGCATGTTATCATCATACGATGAGCTGAAGTAGCAGTATAGGACATCAGGGTCAAAAATACGCATGTTACAAAACCCTGCAGATATTACAAGTTTGTAGTAAGTAGTTAAATGTATTTGCAAACATGTAAACATAATAGAGAACCAGATAAGTTTAAAAAACAAATAAGAATGAGAGTCCACAGCTAACAGCTTTGAAAACACAAGAGTGTGGGTAAAGCACTGCTTAAATAAGAGCACTTTGGTCAAAGAGTGCATCAGAAAGTGTAATAAGCTCCAAAGACAAATACTAATTAGCTGCCATGTTAGGGTGAAAAGTTGAACTAACAGTCACATACACCTTTAAATAAGATGCCTTGTGCCCATTTAAACCATTAAGCAAAACCTTTAAGAGCATACGGCCCTCATCTTGTGCAGCACCCATATGTGTTGCATCATCTGTACTAGGGAAAAGCATACTCAAGGAGCACTCATAACATTATCAAATTAGAAGATGCCAATCCTTTAGAGCGACCAATCAATTTTTGTATACTTTGTGTCCTGTATGAGCATTAAGGCATTACATAATCATTTAGGAAGAATGATGACTTTTTTCAATACATGGGCCACTTGTTGTATGAGTCAACAGATTTCCTTGCAATGACTCTCGCATTTGATGGTGGCTCTGCAGGCTCAATGCACACCTCAGTAATGCATGACTTTGTTCTCCATATGAGAGGCATCTTTAAGCTGCCATCACCAAAAAGCCTTTTATATTCATTCATTCATTTATTTATTTTCTTGTCAGCTTAATCCCTTTATTAATCCGGGGTCGCCACAGCAGAATGAACCGCCAACTTATCAAGCAAGTTTTTTACGCAGCAGATGCCCTTCCAGCCGCAACCCATCTCTGGGAAACATCCACACACACATTCACACACACACACTCACACACTACAGACAATTTAGCCTACCCAATTAACCTTTGGACTGTGGGGGAAACTGGAGCACCCGGAGGAAACCCACGCGAAGGCAGGGAGAACATGCAAACTCCACACAGAAACGTCAACTGAGCCGAGGTTTGAATCAGTGACCCAGCGACCTTCTTGCTGTCAGGCGACAGCACTACCTACTGCGCCACTGCCTCGCCTAGCCTTTTATATATTAAGTATAAATATTTAAGTAGTTCAGTACATTATTCTTGTGTCATTTTATCGTTCACTTTTTTCACAATTTTTTCAAATTTGTTTTGTTTTATTTTTGTTTGTATTTTTTGGTCCAGTGTGTCAGTGTGCTATATACCCTCACTAGGGTGCTCGAGGGTACATGGGAGTATGCCCAACCAGTCCACCTGTGTTTTGTGGACTTAAAGAAGGCATTCGACCGTGTCCCTCGTGGCATGCTGTGGGGATGCTGTGGGAGTATTGGGTCAGAGACACTTTGTTAAAGGCTGTCTGGTCCATATATGAACAGAGTAGGAGTTTGGTTCGCATTGCCGGCAATAAGTCAGACTTGTTTCCAGTGCATGTTGGGCTCTGGCAGGGCTACTCTTTGTCCCTAATTCTGTTTATAATTTTTATGGACAGAATTTCAATGCCCACCCTTGGGCTGGAAAGAGTCCGGTTCGGGGACCACAGTATTTCATCTCTGTTCTTTGCAAATGATGTCGTTCTGTTGGCTTCATCAAAAATGGACCTTCAGCATGCACTGGGGCAGTTTGCTGCCGAGTGTGACGCGGCTGGGATGAGAATTAGCACTTCCGAGGCCATAGTGCTCCACCAGAAAAAGGTGGATTGCCATCTTCAGGTTGGAGGAGGGTCCTTACTCCAGGTGGAGGACTTCAAGTATCTTGGAGTTTTGTTCATGAGTGATGGAAGGATGGAGTGTGAGATTGACTGGTGGATCGGTGCAGCTGCGGTAGTAATGCGGTCAATGTACCGGTCCGTTGTGGTAAAGAATGAGCTGAGACGAAAGGCAAAGCTCTCGATTTACCAGTCAATCTATGTTCCTGCTCTCACCTAAGGTCAGGAGCTTTTGGTCATGACCGAAAAGACAAGATCTCTGATACAATCGGCTGAAGTGAGTTTCCTTCGCAGGGTTGCAGGGCGCACCCATACAGATAGGGTGAGGAGCTCTGTCAGCTCCTTTAGAATATTTTTTTCCTAAAAAAACAGGACATGTTGACTACTTTTTTCTCCACTGTAACCACTTCCTTTACATGTGCATTACCTTTAAATGTACATTATAGCGGGGGCTATAACAAATTTTTATGTTTTCAAAGTGAACTTCAGAGTTGTTACCATGGATACAAACTTTGCACCAGTTGATCAGCAGGTATGACGTGTTTTATGTTGGATTTAAATCCTCTGAAAATCTATTATAAATTATTGAACTAGTTTTTTTTAATCTCTTTTCCAGTACAGTATTATCGTGCTTGAGGTAAGAACATAAGATCTTCTCTACAGTCATTACAAAACCTTTACTGTGCTTTGAAAAACCATATATCTCTTCATTAATGGTCAAGATCTTTTGTTGACTGTGTGACTAAATGGATTGTGTTTTTGGTATTAAACAGGACAGTCGTACTAACAGGATTGGTCAATGGACAAATGTTTCCTCAACAAGGTGGATTTTGCAGCGCTCATATGAATTAAACCCAGAATGTCGTGAAGGCGCATACAAACTAAAGGCTTTTATTGGAGAAAGGATGATCTTACATGATTTTCAGGTGAAAAAATACGGTAAGTCATAAAAGGGAATAGCTTGGTGTGTGTCATGTCACAGAATTCAAATTATATTGTTGTTTATTAAGTTATTGTAATACTAACTGTCTTGATTTCTAGTTTTGCCTAAGTTCGAAGTAACATTAAAAAAACCAAAGACAGTGAGTGTTGTTGAGGAGGAACTGTTAATTGAGGTTTGCGCAAAGTGAGTCATTTATTTCTCTTCTTTATAGTCAAATTGTGTTACTTTAATTGTTGAGTGCATTCTCTGGGGTCAATTATCATAGAATATTATTCATTTTACTTAATCCTGGGTTGTATCAGTTGCTTGAACATTTTCACTTTACAGATACACTTATGGACAACCTGTGCCTGGTAAATCATGGGTAAAAGTGTGCCGTGATCCTTTGCCCTACATTTTTTTCTTTCCATTGTGTTTAGGGGAAACCCTTGAGGTATGTTAGCTGAACTGCGCTACACAACATTTTTCCTTCTTCTATTCATTTAAATTACACTTCAGCTAATATGATTTTTTTTTAATTCATTACAATTAGATAACAAAGACTGGCTGTGCCATCCATAACTTTGGTTTATCAATGATATTGAACTCCACACTAAAGAATAACTTAAAGGATTCTCTTCATGTTGAGGCAGTGGTTACAGAAGAAGGAACAGGTGAGCTGTTGGGTTTGGTCATATATTAATCTGATTTTATTAACTTTCTAATTTTTTATTTTAATACACATATGAATATTTATTTCGTCGTATTTTACTATTACAGAGATCACCAGGACAAAATCTGAATCTGTACATCTCACTTATGAAATTGGCAAAGCCACACTTATTGACCTGCCCAAAACATATGAACATGGATCAGTCATAAAAGGAAAAGTAAGTCTGAAATCTATTTGTCTCAGTTTAATGCCATTAATGTATGCAAAAATATACATTTTCCTGATTATATTCCTGATTACAATCTTATTTTTAACAGATCAAACTTTTCGATTTTAAAGATGCGCCAATTCCAAACAAAGAGGTTTATCTTTTAGAGGGTGAAAACTGGTCCTCCAAACTGCTCCTAAATCTCACTACAGACAGTGATGGACTGGCCAGCTTCTCTCTTAATACATCTAGTCTTTCTAAAAAAGACATTTCTCTGATTGTAAGTTTGTATTTATCTAGTTTTAGTTACAGAAGGGTTTAGTAGCAACAGTCAACTCATTTCTGATTTTTTCCAGGCAAGTGTGTATCCAGATACCCGTTATTATGGCTACAAAACACCTTACTTCTCTACAGATAAAAAAACAGTTCAACTCTTCCAGATCGCCACTGCGTACTCCCCAACATTAAGTGAACTGATTATAGAAGATATTGAGCAGCCGATAAAGTGTGGCACTGAGATTACAGCCACTGTGAAGTATTATTTTGTTGGCGAGACTGTTGAAGACTTCAGTACTGACATTGTCTATATGGTGAGTACATGTGCTAATTCGTACAGTGATGGCTTTTATTCTTTGAAATTTTGTTTATCAGAGTGTCGTCTGTCTGTTTCAGGTCTTGTCCAGAGGAGTGATCGTTCATCATGGATTTGAGAAGGTTGAAGTGAAGTCTTCTTCTAATGGAGTAGCAAGTGGCACAATGTCCTTCAAACTGTCTGTTGGTGCAGATTTGGCTCCTGTAGTGCAGATTCTGGCATACTGTGTTCTGCCCAGTGAAAATGTTATTGCTGCTAACAAAACATTAGACACTGAAAAATGTTTTGGTAATAAGGTATGTGTTGTAGCAGGTTAAAATAATCTACTTCGTACTGTGTTTCTGTTTGAATCCTAAAATAAACCCCATTTCCCCATCATCACAGGTGTCTCTGCAGTTTTCTCCTGCTAAAGCAGTTCCTGGTGAGAAAAACACTCTCCAGCTCTCAGCTCAGCCTGGTTCACTGTGTGGCCTCAGTGCTGTAGATCAGAGCGTCCTGATCCTGGAGTCAGGAAAACGTCTGGATGCTGACAAGGTGTAGATGCTTTAAGATTCAATACTTTTAAAAAGTGTGTCTTTGTCTTAGGAATCTACAGTATGAATCTCGTGAAAAAAAAGACTAATTTAGATGTGTCTGCTGTAATCCATCATCTGATATTCAGTTTTTTGAAAGTCCATGAAAGAATTAGTAATCTGACTGACTGTGTGTGAATGTGGTCTCATTGCAGATTTTCAACCTGCTACCAGTTCATTCGGTGTCAGAGTATCCTTACAGTGTTGAAGATGGGCAGGCATGTCTGTATATAAGACCTCGTCGATCTGTGCTGACAGACAACACCTATGAAACCTTAAAGGTAACAGGTGGATTACATACATATTTGTGACGGTGCCATGCATAAAGGGTTTTCAAACTCAAAGGACACACGCCTCCTCAAGTTTGTCCAATTTCACTCTCGCCCCCCTTGGCACCCCTACCTCAAGCCAAAATGATAATGCATGTGCAAACATAATTTACTTATTACCTGCTGCGATTAAGGTGCATAGAGTTAATTACATTGAAACATAAATATACAGCTTACCTGATTCATTGTGATAGCTGAGCCTTTTTCTGTGAGGATAACATGCTAATCTGTGGTCGGATTCCAGACACGACTAACCGCAAATCATCTTCCACTGTCAATAAGTGTAAGTTATAGTCTACTTGCTTTTGATGTATGGACAAAAAGAAAATACTGGTTCGCAAGGCCAAGTTCGCAGAGCCCTGATGATGTGGTTAAGTCGAACATTGAGTATGTTTACATGGGCAACAATACATTCATACGATTTTAATATGATTAAGACAGTATTCTGATTAGGAGTCTACCATGTAAACAGCGATTTTTGATCACCTTAATCTGACTAAAGTCATAACTGATCAGAAATGGAATCAAGACGTGTGGAGTATGCATATATTAGTGGCATATTAAAGTAAACACCGTCGTCAAACTATTACCGTCATGTAGGACGTTTTGCTACATTTTGTGACAAGATCTACACACGCAGCTGTCAGTAAAGGACTGCACATACACACACATCAACATGCGGTATCAATAAAAGCAACACTCTTCCACCAGTCCTTCATTATCGCATCAAGTACCCCAGTTTGTCACGGGGGCATGAATGAAATGTTCATGAGTGAAAGTTAAACTGCTGAACTGCAGTTAAAGTCGAGCAACTGAAGAGGAAACACCCAAAATTATGTGAAACTCTGCAGGAAACGTAAATTGCCTGGTGACGCAACATTCAAAAAGCACTTCACGTAATTATATTATTGTCTTATTCAGATTTTAGCAAATAACTATTACCGATGTCCATGTAAACGCAGTCAGTAGTCTTTAATATAAGTGAAAGATCCAGATGGGCATCCTGCTGATTTGATTCAAAAGGGCACTTTTTTGTCAGACGGCTCACCAGTTTGACTTTCACCATCATTCATTTTAAAAAGCACCTGATCCGTTTTATTTGTTTATATTTTAATGAAACACAATAACTCTACAGGTGCCTGATAGTTAGATGTGGAGTTAACGTTAATCATGTTATTCCCTCTAGTGAATGCATAAAAATCGTCATCATAATTCACTCGAGTACACACCTCAATGTCTTGCTCCCCCCTTAAGAGGTGCTGCCTCACAGTTTGAAAATCCCTGCTGTAGATTATGTCTGAGAGAAAATGCTGCATTTTCAAAAATAATTCTCGAAAAGCCCTCTTCCATATGCTGTATTTCAATTAAACTGAACTTTGTTTATCCTTTGACAGAGTGTGGGGCTGAAAATGGCAACAAATTTGGCTGTGCGAGTCCCTGAGTGTCTGTTATACAGAGGCTTGACTTATCACAAAAATTTAGGTATATGTACTGTTATTCCTGTGTACGCTTTAACAATTAAATATAGCATTGTTTGTTTTAAAGTGTATTGTAAAGAAAGACATAAAATGTCCATGCCCAGTTTCAGATGTAATCATGTTTTAGGAGTTTCTAACTTTGAGTCAGTGTTATTAAACAAACATTAAATATCATTCAAAAGACTTAGAACACTAACATAAATGTAAAACTTTAAATAAATTTACATGTATCAATTAAAATCAACATAAAATAATCTGTCTTATTTGCCTCCTATGTGATTTTTTTCTATGACAGTATATAGATTTGATTATTTTGATATGTTACACATACCTGTCACTTAATGCCAAATATTACTTTTTTCAGTGATGTATCGTCAGTATGCTCCAGCACCCGGGATGTTTGCTCAAGGAATGGCTGGTGTTGATGGACTGGTTGGAAATTCTCCATCAGTGACAATTAGGACAGTCTTTCCAGAAACATGGATCTGGGAGCTTGCTGAAGTGGGGTATGTGAAAAATAACTGGTGCATTTTTCCATTAACGTATGCAGTGCATCAGAAACTATTCATAGCGCTTCACGTTTTCCACATTTTTTTATGTTACAGCCTTATTCCAAAATAGAATCAATTCATTTAATTCTTCACAATTTTACACACAATACCCCATAATGCACTGGGGCAGTTTGCAGCCGAGTGTGACGTGGCTAGGATGCGATTCAGCACCTCCAAGTCCGAGGCCATGGTGCTCCACCGGAAAAAGGTGGTTTGCCATCTCTAGGTTGGAGGAAAGTCCTTACCCCAGGTGGAGCAATTTAAGTATCTCTGGGTTTTGTTCACGAGTGAGGGAAGGATGGAACGTGAGATTGACAGGCGGATTGGTGCAGTGGCAGCAGTAACAAGCGGCTGAAATGAGTTTCCTTCGAAGGGTTTTCCACTCTTAAGGATAGGATGAGGAGCTCTGACACCCGGGAGGAGCTTAGAGTAAAGCTGCTGCTCCTGCACATCAGGAAAAGTCAGCTGAGGTGGCTCGGGCATCTGTTTCGAATGCCTCCTGGACACCTACCTAGGGAGGTGTTTCAGGCATGTCCCACTGGGAGGAGGCCTCGGGGAAGACTCAGGACACGCTGGAGGGACTATGTCTCTCGGATGGCCTGGTAACATCTCGTGATCCCACTGGAGGAGCTGGAGGAAGTGTCTGGGGAGAGGGAAGACTGTGGTTCTCTCCTAAGACTGCTGCCCCGGTGATCCGGCCCCGGAAAAGCGGCAGAAGATGGATGAATGAATGAATACCCCATAATGACAATGTAAAAAAGAAGATTTTTTTGAAATTTTTGCAAATTTATTAAAAATAAAAAAACCTGAAAATTCACACGTGCATAAGTATACACAGCCTTTGCTCAATACTTTGTAGATGCACCTTTGGCAGCAATTACAGCCTCAAGTCTTTTTGCATATGATGCCACGCTTGGCACACCTGTCTTTGGGAATTTTTGCCCATTCCTCTTAGCAGTACCTCTCAAGCTCTATCAGGTTTGATGGGAAGCAACGATGTACAGCCATTTTCTGATCTCTCCAGATGTTCAATAGTATGTAGGTCTGGGCTCTGGCGAAGCCACTCAAGGACATTTACCGAGCTGTTGTGAAGCCACTCCATTGATTTTTGGAGGTGTGCTTTGGGCCACTTTCCTGCCACAGCCTAAGGTCATCTTGACCTCTGAAGCAGGTTTATATTCAGGATGTCTCTGTACATTGCTGCATTCATCTTTCCCGTCATCCTGATCAGTCTTCAAGTTCCCGCTGCTGAAAAACATCCCCACAGCATGATGCTGCCTTCCCCATGCTTCACTGTAGGGATGGTATTAGCCTGGTGATGAGCGGTACCTGGTTTTCTCCAAACGTAACCCCAGGAAATCACTCCAAAGAGTTCAATTTTAGTCTCATCATTCCAGAGAATTTTGTTTCCTATGATCTGAGAGTCTTTTAGATGCCTTTTGGCAAATTCCAGACGAGGAGTGGCTTCCATTTGGCCAATCTACCATACAGGCCTGACTGGTGGATTGCTGCACAGATGGTTGTCCTTCTGTAAGGCTGTCTTCTCTTCACAGAAGAACGCTGGAGCTCAGACCATCGAGTTATTGATCACCTCCCTGACTAAGGCCCTTTCCCCCGATCACTCAGTTTAGATGGGCAGCCAGCTCTAGGAAAAGTCCTGGTGGTGCCAAACATCTTCTGCTTACGGATGATGGAGGCCACTGTGCTCATTGGAACAGAGCAGCAGAAAGTTTTTTGTTATCTTCTCCAGCCTTGTGCCTTGTGGCAATCCTGTCCCAGAGGTCTACAGACAATTCCTTTGTCTTCATGCTTGGTTTGTGCTTTGACATGAACTGCCAACCCTGGGACTTTATATAGACAGGTGTATGTCTTTTCAAATCATGTCCAATCAACTAAATTTACCACTATAGGTGTGTTAAGGTGCTGAAACATCTTATGAATGATCAGTGGAAACAGAATGTACCTGAGCTCAATTTAGAGCTTCACGGCAAAGGCTGTGAATTCTTCTGTACATGTGATTTTTATTTTATTTTTTTAGTTAATTCGCAACAATTTCAATAAAATACATTTATATCTATATGAACCCACGCATATAAATATCAATTTATATATAGTGCTGTCACCCTCACGCTCTGTTCCCGCAGGAACACACCCAGAGCACCTATGCCGCCAGACACCCTCCAGTAGGAGTCTTCACCTCCCCCTCATCTCTCCCGACTCCTACCGGAGCCAGCTAAATAGCTCACCCAACCCCGAGCTGTGACAACAGTCACGTCACCGACCCTCCCCGGCCCTAGCTTATATTTATGTTCATTTTTGTTTCATTTCTCACACTTATCTTTTTTTTTCTAAATTAATTTGTATATGTGTATATATATGCACCCACGCATATAAATATATATTTATATATAATGCTGTCACCCTCAAGCTCTTACTACCACAGATTTGATACCGAGCACTGGACCCCCGCAGGGGTCATCGCCCAATTGCCATTCACCCTCCAGCTGGGGCTTCACAGACCCTTCCTTTTCCCGACTCCAGCTGGAGACGGCACATACAGCTCTCTCTCCCGCAGGAGTGCCAAGAGCTTCATGCATTTGGGGAGCTCTCGAGAACCACCTGATCTTGCACTCCCCTCACATGCTCTATGAACCTGGCGGGAGCCCTGGGCTCAACTATCTCCGAGCTCAGGGTTCTCTCCCGGGACAGCATGCCAAACCTGCTTACAGTTGTCAAGCAATATCTAAGTGTGAACTCTTGAAGTGACGATTTTAAACTAATTTCGAGAGCACGTGATATAATTGACTGCAGCTGGCCACCTATCTACACTCATTAGTTAGCCAATCAGATCTATCCTAACTCACTATAAATAGCCTAGCTAGATATTACTCCCTTATCTTCGTTTTCCGAAGAAACCCCCCATCCACCCCCTTTCTCCTGCTTTTCTCCTTTACAAAAAAGGGGAGCTCTCGAGAACCACCTGATCTCGTACTCCCCTCACATGCTCTATGGACCTGGCGGGAGCCCTGGGCTCAACTATCTCCGAGCTCAGGGTTCTCTCCCGGGACAGCATGCCAAACCTGCTTACAGTTGTCAAGCAATATCTAAGTGTGAACTCTTGAAACGTTTTTGAGGGAGAGATTTGTGGCTGTGACATGTTTTGATTGATGGATTAGTTGATAAATTTTTTTTTTTTTTACTTTGTCTTGTTTTTGTATAAACCTTACATGCATATAGTCCAATATTGTTGATGTTGTGACATAAACATGTCTGAAGAAGATTGGATTGGTATCATAATTGCACAAAACGTGGAATGACTGTAAACAAAAAAATTGTTTGTAGCTTGCAGATTTATACACTCAAAATCAAAAAAGATGCTCTTGCCAAGACAGAATGCAGATGAATCAAAATCCCTCAAATTCCAGATTTACATATGTAAGAATGTAGCTAAATTGTTGAGTAAGAATCAGTCAGGCTTATTGTTATTATTGCACCACAGAGACTCTGGATCAGCTGAGGTTCCTGTCAAAGTTCCTGACACCATCACCACTTGGGAAACAGAGGCCTTCTGTCTGTCCTCCACAGGTCTGGGCTTGGCTCCTCCTGCTCAACTGACAGTTTTCCAGCCCTTCTTCCTGGAGCTCTCTCTGCCTTACTCCATCATCCGTGGGGAGATCTTTGAGCTCAAGGCCACTGTTTTCAATTATCTGTCCAAGTGCATCATGGTGAGATTTCAGACTAAGCCTGATCCAATCAGATCAAATATTCCACTTATCACATGTGCTTGATTGACAGATTAAAGTGAGTCCAGCTCCTTCCTCAGACTACTCTCTCAAAGCCTCCTCTGATGATCAGTATTCATCCTGTCTCTGTGCTAATGGAAGAAAAACCTTTAAATGGATCCTCACTCCTTCTGTTCTTGGTGACTTGTCCAGTCTGAATCAGTTTCTCAGTGTTTGTGTCTGCTGTATCTTCACATACATGTCTTGTGTTGCAGGAGTGGTAAATGTTACAGTTAGTGCAGAGGCAGAGGCGTCCCAGACTGTGTGTGACAATGAGATTGTGAGTGTGCCAGAGAGAGGACGCATTGACATCGTCACACGAAGTCTGCTTGTACAGGTCAGGTCACATCAAACAGCTCTCAGACATCATCTACCATTGATTCTAATGTTGTTTGTGTTGTTATTTTTATGCTGCAGGCTGAAGGAATTGAAAAGACAGAGACCAACAGCTGGTTATTGTGTCCAAAGGGTGGGTTCCATAAATTGGTCAGATATTTTGGTGTAAAAGCACTCATAATGCAGAAAACATTTTGATTGCATTCAAATTTTCAATCAAGCACAGTATCAAGCAGAGAAGTTTTTTTCAATTAATACACATGTTGCCTCAAGAAAGTCAGATTCTGCACAAATGAGTAAATTAGCATGCAGTATCAAAACTACCTATTGAGAACACACATTCAATTTAAGGACTTCTCAATTTGGAGGAACCATGTTATCATAATATTATCATGTCTACAATATGTGACAATACTAAAAAATCTCATTTTAAAACTGCTGATGCTTTTCTCTCTTACCCATGTGGTTAAAACAGAATAATTCCTGATTGTGGCTCCTCTTACTTATTATTGGAACTTGTGAAATGAAATAAGTGGGAGTGATTGAAACTAATTTTTATTTTGAAATATTACACTCCTGATGACTGATGCGTGCGTTTCTGCCTCTCTGATTGACAGGTGACAGTCTCTCAGAGAAAGTGGATCTTACTCTGCCTAAAGATGTGATAGATGGATCAGCAAAATCCTCAGTTTCAGTCATTGGTAACATTTACGGAGAGGCGTCTGGATGCAGACCTGGTGCAGATACAATCTGAGCTGCATGCAATGATTTTTAATGGACTTACCTATACCTACCCATCAAAGTGACATCACTAGCTCCATTAAGTGCATTGCGTCTGACACTGCATCTCTGAAAAATGCAATCTCAGCTTGCATCATAAATGCTGCATCCAGTTACTATTGCATTTACATACAGAAAGAGGAGCTTGTGTTTGGATTTCTAAAATGTGTTTGGTTTGCAGGAGACATATTGGGTCGTGTACTGCAGAATCTTCATGGATTATTACGGATGCTGTACGGCTGTGGAGAACAAAACATGGCTGTTCTTTCTCCCAATATTTACATTCTGCAGTATCTGGAGAACACAAAGCAGCTCACATCAGCCATCCGAGAGAAAGCCAGCAGCTTCCTTAAGAGTGGTGAGACACATCAGTCATGATGAGAAACTACTGAGATGGAAAAATTATTTGTTTATATCTCAACACAGCTGAATGTCAGACACAATCTGCTCTAACATTAACAAGCATTAACCATTATGCCACTAAACAGGATACCAGAGACAACTGAACTACAAGCATTTTGATGGGGCTTACAGCACATTTGGTTATGGTGATGGAAACACATGGTATATATAATTTCACTCTTTTGTTAAAGCAAAATTAACATCAAAGAAATATTCTAAACAATTAAATCTTTCACACCACCAGGTTGACTGCCTTTGTCCTGAGGTCTTTTGGCAAAGCTCAGAAATACACATTTATTGATCCACAAATTATTCAGAGTGCAAAGGATTGGTTAATAAGCAGACGGGATTCAGACGGCTGTTTTATCCAACAGGGAAGACTGTTTAACAACAGAATGAAGGTTTGTCTATCTATCTATCTATCTATCTATCTATCTATCTATCATGAGATGATGTCTGGGCACTACAAGTCCTAGCAGGCTTTGCGCCATGTAAGGAAGTGTTGTTGTTTACGTGCGGACATTTTATTTCCTGGTTGCAGCGTAAATTAACAACAGGTTGTAGAGTGCTCAGCGCTATATAAGTGAGTCACAAAGTTTGTTTGCCCATTTGCTTCTGGGTTTTGCATCCGAGTCACGGCACCAATGTAACCCTGCCGATCCTACGCCACCCAACCAGCTCCGAGCTGGGATCGAACCGGCGACCTTCCGCATGGGAGTCGGTTGCTCTAACAAAGAGGCTAAAGACCATGGCCTCTAGCGTCTGTCGCTAGAGCACCTATAGAGGTCACAGGAGGGAGGTTTACCTGCACAGCACCTACTGGCTGGCCTCTAAAGGTGTTCTAGCGACAGACATTACATATCTATCTATCTATCTATCACCATAACAAACATCTAGAAAAAAAATGTAGTAACTAGGAAACTTTACTTTTACTTTTAAATTTTTCTCTTTCAAACATTTAGGATTTGTCAAGCCAAAATAAATGTGTGTCTATATTAACATAAATGTATTGATTGTGTTGCCTTACCCCAAATTCTCTTCTATCATAGGGTGGAGTGAATGATAATGTGACCATGACGGCCTACATTACTGCATCACTGCTTGAACTGGAAACTCCAGTCACAGTAAGTTCATCATCAGGAAAATCAGTATAAACTCTTAGTAAAATGACACTCGCAGCATCTGTTCGTCTGTTTGTGTTTCAGGATCCTGTCATCACTAAAGGTTTGTCATGCTTGAGGTCCGTCATCGAGGAAGTCAAAAACACTTACACCACTGCTCTGCTGGCCTACACTTTCAGTCTGGCTAGAGACACCAACACTCGAAAGCAGCTTTTCAGCAAACTGGAGGATCTTGCTATTTCAGATGGTAAGAGATTGCTTTCTGATGACTTTCTGCACTGCACTGTTGCTTTTGTCCTGCTGATTGAGTTTGTCTTTTGTGTCCTAAAGGTCCTCTTGTCCACTGGTCTCAGTCTGCATCTGCTGATGACTCTGCTTCTCTGGATGTGGAGATCAGCTCATATGTGCTGCTAGCTGTTCTCACTGCAGATTCACTCACTACAGCTGATTTGGGCTTTGCTAACAGGATTGTCAGCTGGCTTGTGAAGCAGCAGAATGCCTATGGAGGATTCTCCTCCACACAGGTTCCTCAAATCAAACACATTATTGCTGAATAGCTAAAATTGTCACATGACTGAACTCATTTCTTTCCCAGGACACAGTGGTGGCTCTTCAGGCTCTGTCTTTGTACGCCACCAAAGTGTTCAGCTCTGACGGCTCCAGCACAGTGACTACAGTCAGCAGGAGACTCTCACCACTTTGATGTCAATCAGGACAACAAGTTACTGTACCAGGAGAAGCAGCTGGCCAATGTGCCGGGCAAATACAGCATTGAAGTCAAGGGCTCAGCCTGTGTGTCTGTGCAGGTCTGCAGTTTCACCTTCATTTACTCACCTTCTCTCTTGGCATTTTGGGGTTATTCTACTTTGAGATTGTTTATGAACATTTTATCTGTTTTGACTCAGATAGCTCAGTTTTACAACATTCCCACTCCTACTGAAGCTAAAACATTGAGCATTGATGCTAAGATTGAAGGAGATTGTGAAGCACTGGGACAAAATTTCATCTTCGACTTCACTGTCAAGTAAGAATTGACCTGAAAGTAATCCACAATACTAGAGTATGATAATGATTGATATTGAACATGACTGTTGCTTATTTCTAATTTTCATCCATTCAATCATTCATTGATTTTCCTTTTGGCTTGGTCCCTGATTTATCAGGGGTCGCTACAGCGGAATGAATCGCCAACTACTTTTTGAACACTTTTATGACATTAAAAGCTTTTATCTAATCATTTCCATTTGCTGATTTCTAGATACGATGGGCCAGAGGAAAAGACTAACATGGCCATTGTAGACATTAAACTGTTATCTGGATTCACAGCTGATACATCTGCGGTGTGTTTGATGATACATCAAGCAGAAATAAAATCTCTAGACGTCAGTGTTAATACTTTAACTGACCTGCTCTTTTTTTCTTACAGCTTGGCACTTCTTCAGGAACATATGTATCACTTGTGGAGCGGGTCGATTCCAAAGATGACCATGTCATTGTGTATCTGAAGGAGGTGAGAGAACAGTAACATTCAAATGGTTGATTTAATGTCATTTTGATTTAATCAAATATAATAAATCCATTTTGTCAGTAACTGATAAGGTTGTGTTCTCCTGCAGATCTATAAAAATGTTGCAATGAATTACCAGATACAAATGAAACAGGTTCTACCAGTTAAGAATCTCAAGCCAGCTGTGGTCAAAGTGTATGATTACTACCAAACAAGTAAGATGATTTATGCTATTGCTGAATATTTTTTTATCATGCGATGGAATATTTATTTAGATTTATTTAACGTGTAAGTGTACTGTGATATAAATGATTACATCCTCCATTTCCTTCAGGTGATCAATCAGAGATTGAATACTCCTTCCACTGTGAAGCACTGAAGAACATCAATTAATATTTTTCAGTGGTGAAACATGTTTAAGCATTTATTTGTTTAATATTAAATAGTTTTTCTATATTCTGGGCAAATTAATTCCCACCTATCAACCCAACCCATCATATCTTAAGAAACTGATTTATTAAATCACACACATACAAAAAATATTACATCATGATTTAACATGATTATTAAAAGTGTTGAACCCTAGTTATGGCGAGCTGGTTGAGTCTTTGTATGTCTAGAAGCTACATGTTATTTTAGAATCTCATTTAGAATGTTTTATGATTGAATATTTTGATATGTTTTATCTTATCTCAGTATAAGATGATCATTTATGACTTTGAATATGTACTGTAACTTATCCTTTTATTAATTGAATTAAACCAACAACAGCCAAATTATGAGCAAATATGATCTGATAACATGTGGCAAATCACTTCTCCACCAAATCATTAGATGTTAACTATAGTAACCTTATTACTACCTGGTAACAAAATTAACTATTATTTTTAAAAGCTCACAAAATTTCTTAAACCCTGATTTTCCTGCTGATCTGCAAATCCAAGTTGTTTTTACAAACAAGATATATATTTCATAAACAAGATATTAACTATCCCCTTAGCTGCTAATATCAGCATTCATGCTATGCATTTAGAACCTATATTGTGAATAGATTGCTTATTGTAAATGGATGTCCTATTTCCCCAGAGACAATTCTGCTATAGCAAACCTAATTTACGAGCCCCATTTATTTTTTGGCTACTATTTGATTTTTATTTGATTATTATATAAATATATTTTCAATCCTTTAAATGTAAGCCTTCAAGCAAATAACATTCATTCATTTATTTTTTTATTTGGCTTAGTCCCTTTATTAATCCGGGGTCGCCACAGCGGAATGAACCACCAACTTATCCAGCACGTTTTTACGCAGCAGATGCCCTTCCAGCCACAACCCATCTCTAGGAAACATTCACACACACTCATTCACACTCATACACTATGGACAATTTAGCTTAACCAATTCACCTGTACCGCATGTCTTTGGACTGTGGGGTAAACCTGAGCACCCGGAGGAAACCCACGCAAACACAAGGAGAACATGCAAACTCCACATAGAAACGCCAACTGACCCAGCCGAGACTCGAACCAGCGAAAGTCATCAAAAATATTTCCTGAATGAGTACAATAATGCAGTCTATTTTTACTTTAACTGAGCAGAAAATCATAATTATATCAACATAAAGTTTTCTGAAGTTATAAAACATTTATTTAAAATATTTAAAAAAGCATTTACTTTCTAACTGGTTCAATTAGCCAAAACCAACTGCCTTTACCTGACATAAATAGTCCCCATGATAAATAAATTTACAGCTGTGTGTAGGCTATGTGATTTGGTCGCACACTGTTTCTGTTATAAGTGAAGGTTCGCAAGAGACAGAACTTCAGTTGTGAGTTCATTCAGCGTGATTTTGATTATACCAAGTTAATCAATAGCGATTGGTGTATGAGAACAGCAAATTTTGTTCAACAAAAAGCTTGGTTTGCCTACCTTTAATAAAATAGTTCTCACAGTTTTAAAAGAACCAAAAATGGAACATTGGGTCGACCTTTTGAAGGACTAAAATGTTGCTATCCAAAACATTTATTGGGGTATAGCCACCCCTAGCACCATCAGACAAATGTTTTAAGAACATCATTAAGATGTGTAATGTGGAATGTTCTTCTCTAGCAATATGACATTTGAACAAAGCTAGCACATTTTATCTGCAACATTTTAAAAACATTTTAAGATTATTGAAATGGCACCAGATTGAACAATGTTCTCTTTGAAAAAGTTTTCACAATGATTTATAAAAACAAATGTAAGAATATTTTCAAAGTCACATAAGAGAAATGTTTTAAGAACATGATTTATTGTCAAAAACGAGACAGAAAGACAATTAACATACTAATTTTGACCTGTACTTTATCTATACTCTACCCATAAAATATATCAAATGTCATGTTCAAAAACTTATTGCAGACAAATAAGTAAATCCTGGTGGTTTAAAAAATAGTGGCAAAGCACACAGATTTAAAGTGACAATGAATAAGTATTTCATACAATAAGTAAAATTTGTATTATGTGTCAGAAAATGATTCTTGTTTTAAATTTACCAGATTTTCAAAATTCTTTTCTTTTTTTGTTACACGTTATACAATGAGCACAAGAATGTAAGAAAATGCAGTGCTTTAAACTTTCTTTTCATATTGCTACAGTAAAATTAAATATTTTAAATGTGTATAGAGAGTGTTTTGTGTCTGTCATATCGTTACTGTACATTTTGGAAACAAAAAAGAAAACAAACAATGTTATTAACAAACATGTACAATATTTAGAGAATATTGTCCTCACTTAATAGAAGGCTTTCTGGGAACTAGAACAAAATACCTGCTGAAAATATTAAAGTCTAATATTTTAACAATGTTACCCAATTAAACGGGATCAGAATGTTTTAGAGAACATTTACCTCTCTTTTAGGAGAATGTTCTGGGAAGTAAAATAAAACAATCCTTGAAATGTTATAATTATGTTAAAGTATAATGTTTCAACAATGTTACCACTAAACAGGTTTAGTGTACTGTTTTAGAGAATAATGCTATAAGAATGTTAGAATATAATGTTCTAAAATTGTTACCAGCGAATGTGGTTAGAATGTTTCTAGAGAATCTTTTCCTATCTTTTAAGAGAATGTTCTGGGAACTAAAACAAAACTACCCACCTAAAACAGTAATGCAACATTGCTTGGTAATATTCTCAGAACATGTAGAGAACTAAACATTTCTAGCTGGGTACCAGCTCTCAAGGGTCAAACGTGGACCACATCTTCAAGCCGGAATTGTTGCCACTCAACAGCTTACCTGATCAGCCACCAGGCTCACCTTTCGCTGCGGACTTCCAACTCTCTCCGAGCAATCATTAATCTTTCCAGTGCTGTGCACTGACAAACTTGCTGTGTGCAGCATCCTGTCTTTGTTGACTTTTATTCAAATAAACAGTCTTTGCTTTTACCCGCACTCCTGGTGTGTTGTCTACTCTAACAATGTTCCCTGTAAGGATTTCTGGTTACAAATTTTTTGTGAAATCCTGTAGAAAGTGGCAGTGCCAAGAAAAACAAATATACACACATACTGTACATAATCATACAATTCTGGCAGTAATTAGACTCCACTGAACTTGCAACCACATTCAAAGAAAGAAAAGGAAAAGATGAGATAGAGACAAGGGACTTTTAAACACATACTAATCACTTAAACAAAAGTTTATTTCCAAATTCGCTTACACATTTACTTTGTTTTGTTGTACTATTTTACCACATTGGTGTTTGAGGCATAATTAATTCAGAATGCATGTTCCTTATAATATTCCTGTATGATTCCTACAGGTGTTTTGAATGTTCCCTGAATCCCTGTATGATTCATGTAGGAAAACTGCATGTTATTTATTTATTTATTTATTTACTTCACAACAAGGTACAGTGTACATTAACAACATTCCCATTGAACATAAATGCACACAAATTAGCCATAAAATCCATTAGCTAATAAAGTTTTCATTGGTGTTCCTACTGTATGCCAACAACTACAACAATAGCTAAAAGCAATGTTCACAATGTTGATTATGAAGAAGCCATGAAGTATTCCTGGACTCCTAACGGAGTTTTGCCTGTTCCCTGGGGATTCCTGTAGGTTTCCTGCAGGAGTTCAGTGTAGAATTTCTATACTATAGCCCTGCATGTTCACTGTAAGATTTATATACTGTAGGATTCCTGCATGCACTTTGTATTAGTTACCTGTAGGAGTCCTACAGGAGTCCGGCAGCAGTCTTGCATGTTTCATCAGACAAGATTTCTACATGGTTCACATAGGAATCTAATGTTTTTCCTGTAGGAGTCCTACAGGAGTCGTGCATTCTCCTTGTTGGATTTCTGAAGGTGTCTTGCATGTTCCCTGTAGGATACCTGCAAACATCCCGAATGTTCCCTGTATGATTTGAGTCCTGCATTGTCCATGGTCCACTCAAATTGATCAATAATTAGTCTTGACCACCACACAACAACATTCAACGAAGATGGCGTAGCTCAAAATAATCACTTTAACAAAATTTATTTACAAAAATTTACAACACGTTAGAGTAGTGTTTTTTTTTCTATCCTAACACATTGGTATTTGAGGTGGCATTCAGAACATTAACACATTTAAACAGAAGGTCACATGTGCATGACTAAATTCAACCTATAAATACTCACAGACCAAACAAACATGTAATCTCTTCACCATGTAGTAGAATCTTAATTATTAACAAACTTACCTAAACTTTACTAGTTTAAACAAACATTTATGGTAACTCTTTAATTCTTTGGGGGTTTTTGACCCTTGATTTCAGTATCTTCTGTTGATATTGGAAAGTGGTCAGCTGTCTTTCTTTTTTTCTTTGTGTACTTTGCTTAGATGATATGTATATATTTTACAAATAAGTATTGAATAACAAATATAAACATAACAATAAATCATATATATAATCATTGTAGTGCAATGTCAGCATAAATAAAGCTTTAACTGTACTTAGGACCTCTTAGTTTGGTAAAAGCCACTGATTAGTAATGAATCATTAATCAGATGATCAACATTGAAATGTTATGAAGGACCTAGCATTAGTGTCCCTTTATCAGAGATAGTTTTGCTCATTTCATCACCGAGATCATGGCTCTGATTGTTAGCTGTTGTTTAAAAGGGTTCTTCCTGATCTTTATCCTCTTCCTCTGTGTCAATGGAAATAAAACAAGACCGTAAGTATCTTTCTGTGCAACATGATTAAGTTCTGTTTTGACTATTGCTCTTTTCTGATATAGAAATGACTGAGACAGCTATAAATTACTTTGATAGTTTACAGTGAAATACATTTCATCATATGCTAAAATGTAAAAACTTGTCTGAAATTGAACGTTTGATTGTCTTTTTGATAGAATCTTCATGGTGACCTTTCCTGCCGTGATTGAGTCAGGATCTGATGCCAAACTGTGTGCAAGTCTTCTAAAGCCCAACAAAACCCTCTTCATGAACATTTATCTAGTTCATAGTAACCAGAGCACATTATTGCTGCAGGAGAAAGCTGAGCAAGAGTTTCACCGCTGTTTTAACTTTCAGGTCTGCTTATTGTTTTGAATATATTCAACTATGTGTTGTCATAATGTGAAGAAGATTTTATTCTCTCTGTATGAAGTATTTTCTAAGTGTAAAGCAGTTAATTTTCTTTTCACAAAATGTATGTAGTGTTTGCAGCAAACATGCCAGACTGTGTTAAAAATACAGTGATATGTCTGTGTAAGATGAGTATGCCTGCACAGGAGCAACACTAGGAGAAGGCTGAGTGACTGATTGTGTAGAATAACTGAATATGTAAAGCACTGATTATATATGTTAAATACTTCTATGAAGCTATATGTGTCAGAAGTTAGAATGAGTAACATGTTATCAAGTTATTATCCTATCATAACAATGTATGTAAACACTTAGTTCCTTTGCATAAGTTGCATCTATACTTTGCTGACATAGACCTGTAACATCTCTGTTGACATGAGCTAGTGGGCTGAGAGCCAAGAATAGCAGGAACCCTTAGACTAGAAAACCTATTCAAAAATGGTCAAAAGTTAAAAAGAGACACATAGGGGTGTGTCAAAAACATAAATAAAGGAGAAGGAGCAGGAGAGACTTTGGAAGGTGTCCAGGAGAGACTTCAGAATGCTCTGGGGTCTGCTCTGCTCTTTCTCGGCTTTATTACGGAGAATAAAGTCTATTTTCTGATATTCAAAACCTCTGGTCTGATAATTCGACGTCTTATCAATTAGAAATTATCAGACCAGTTATCATATATAATCAGACCAATTATCATATATAATCAGTGCTTTACATATTCAGTTATTCTACACAATCAGTCACTCAGCCTTCTCCTAGTGTTGCTCCTGTGCAGGCATACTCATCTTACACAGACATATCACTGTATTTTTAACACAGGCTGGCATGTTTGCTGCAAACACATACATTTTGTGAAGAGAAAATTAACTGCTTTACACTTAGAAAATACTTCACACAGAGAGAATAAAATCTTCTTTAAATGCATCTATTTAACACAATCGTTATTCTTGCAGAGGTTGTAAATACAGGACTTTATTTCTCACCAGGCTCCTCTAGCAGAAGCAGAATCAGTGCAGAAAATCAAGGTTGAACTTCAAGGAGAGTCCTTCAACATGACTGAAGAGAGAAAAGTCATGTTCAAATCATACCATCCTCTGACTTTTATTCAGATGGATAAACCCTTCTATATTGCTGGACAGACTGGTAAGTTGCAAATATTATGGCATGTAAAAGATTATTGTGGAAAATTATGGAAATAACCTGCGCATGTTTATTATGTTTTAGTCCCTTGTGGCCACCTCAATATGATTTAGTTTTTGATATTATAATTTAAATGTACTTGCGTAAATTCACAATATTTCAATAAATGATTAAAAAACAAAATGCAGCCACCAAATTATTGTGGATTGATCAGCGCCACCGAAGTAGCTGATTTACTGAGATTGCACAATTTTTATTAAGAAATTCTTGTTTTTGAAATAATTAGTTGTGTTTTATCTGATTGAAAACCACAAATCCAAATCAAATAAATAAATAGATGCTTGAAATCAGCTTTTCAGAATCTGGTTTATTTAGCAACTCCATTATTTTGCTGGATGACTTAAAAGGGCCAAAAATCTTACTAATTCTGTGGGTGTATTTTGCAAAAAGGTACATCAAAAGAAGAATATGTATTAATATATTGTGGCTCAAAAAGGAGCATGGATAAATCTGTATAAGTCTGTATGGTAAGTGTGTGTGTGTGTGTGTGTGTGTGTGTGTGTGTGTGTGTGTGTGTGTGTGTGTGTGTACGTGTTTTTGTGACATACCGTGACACAAATCTGTATAATGACATGGGTATGACACAGGTATTACAAAAAGGAGGTGAAATATTTCTCACAAAGCTTATAAATCACACAGGATGAGTTTAATCAAAGAGTAAAGCTGTACACAGTCTCCTGTGATGGTTGGGTTTAGGGGTAGGGTGGGGTGAGGGCAATACAATATACAGTTTGTGCTGCATAAAACGAATGGAAACCTATGTAATGTACCCACTTTTCACAAAAACAAACATGTGTGTGTGGTAATATCTTTTGTTCAGTGTGTTCATTTGTTTCGTTTATTAATTCATGCATTAATCTCCTTAAATTTTAGACATGGCATATACTGTATGCTGTACAATAAAATAATGAGAAAAATAACTGAAAGGTGTTTTTAAGCTAAATATTGATTTTTATTTAGTTTGCACATGTACTTGCTGATTTATTTCATGGAATAAATTGCAATTTCAAGAGCAATTAATGGAATTAATTAAAACTTCATTATTTCATTCAGCAGAAACAAAAGTAAAGCATTACTCGTTATTCACAATATATACTCAATTCATTATTCTTTTGTGTGCCACCCCAAGATTTGGTGTGGCCTTACTTGGCCACCCCTAAAGAATTTTCTGGGGGCGCCACTTCTGGTTTGGCACACACATTAACATTGTTTTTAGTTAGTTTTGCTTTTAGATTAATAAGAACAGGGAGAGTTGTGTTCACAATGTTGTCTGTATGACAAGTGAAGTTTATTTATAAACTAATTTTGAGAGGATCACATGCTTATGACTGCTTGTGGCTGGACCCGCATTATCCAATTTACAATGCACCAATCAGACGGTTACTAAGCTACTATAAATACCCAAGGTTACACATCACAGCTATCTTCGTTTTGAAAAATCCCCCCTTCCACCCCTACTCCTCCTCCTTCATGGATGGGTGGCACGGTGGCCCAGTGACTAGCACTGTTGCCTCACAGCAAGAATGTCTCTGGTTCTAGTCTTTACCAAGCCAGTGGACGTTTCCATGCAGAGTTTACACGTTCTCCCCATGGTCAAGTGGGTTTCCTCTGGGTTCCCCGGTTTCCTCCCACCATCCAAAAACATGCAACTTAAGTTTATTACTAATCCAAATCAACACCATAGACATGCTCCTACCAAGTACTTATCTCTTCAAAAGAGCAATTACTATCTGCTCTTCAGACACCATGACAAGGGAGTTCTCGAGATCTACCTGAGCTCAAACTCCCCTCTTGCCTTGCAAAAGGAGGGAGCCCCGGGCTCGAGGATCATATGAGCTCAGGGCTGTCTCCTGTATGCCAAACTAGCTTTATAATCAATAATCAGCTAAGTGTGAACTCTTGAATAAATGAATATTTAAGAAACCCTGATAGACTGTAATAACAGGAGGTTAATTACATTCTCAAACTGGTGGTTTTAGAAAGCTATTACAATATCAAAGTATTGATAAAACATTTGAAAATGTTAACCCAGAGTTTTAAACTTTGGTGATATTAATATTATCACCATCCAGAAAAAAACATGTATTGTTGTTTTTATTTTACTATATATTTTTTTCACAGTAAACTTCAGGGTTGTTACGATGGATAAAAGCTTTAGACCTCTTGATCAGCAGGTGTGTTTTATCTAATATCTGTATATCTCTCTCATTTTTATTTAATTCATTTTAAATACATAAATGCATTGTTGGCTGTTAACGTTTTTAAATAATGCACTTTTTTTGTGCTAATTTTGTCTTTTACAGTATAGTGCAGTTGTACTTGAGGTAAGAACACAAAAGATAGATTTAACTCATTATATAACCCATTAACAACACACAATAACTTTACAAAATCACTAATTCTGCTTCAAAGTCATATTTAAGAATGTATCTAATCTTAAAAATCTTCCTGAAGATGAAAACTTTACACACAGCAGACTTTTTTTTTTTTTTTCATTTTTCATTTAGGGGTGAAAAGAAATTTGGGTGCCACTTTATATTGTCACATATTTGTGAACTTACACTGTAACTAGATGTGTAAGTAATATGTAACTACAGTGTATGTACACACTGGTACATAGTATTTACTTGTGTAATACTGGTGTAACTACACACATGTAACAACCCAATGAATAGTATGTGTAAGTTTAAATGTGTAACAGGACATTGGTAACAAAGCACTAAGAAGGAAAGTACACATCTGTGACAAGAATTATGTAAGTTCATTGCGTGACATGTACTTGCAGATGTTTTCCAACTTCCACACCTGTTTGCATACCATGTACTGCACTTGTGAACATTGTATAGCAAAACGAATGCTGCATTAGAAGGTTTCACCTTGTGATACCAGACATACATGGTAACTCCACATGAACTGTCGACTCAATATAAAATGTAAAATGGTCGCAAATTGCTGTGTAGCTTGTAAAAATATCTTCTATGCAACACTTTATTAACAGTGTACTTACATGATAACTCTTCAGAAACTGTTCATTCAATATAAACTATAAAATTGTCACAAATTACTGTGTGATATATAAAACATAATCCTCTGTGAAACTGGTTAACAACATTGTACTTACATGGAAACTCTTCAGGAACTATCCAACAAATGATTAAATACTGTGTGTAAATAAAGTGTAAATTTTTTTTTAATAAGTGTACTTCCAAAATGGTCGCTAACTACTGTGTAATATAAATCTTAATGCAACACATTATTAACAGAGTACTGACATGGTAACTTCTCAGGAACTGTCCGCTCATGTCCTCATATAACTGGGAAAACGCATGGTGAATCCACAGGAATAGATTATTTAATATGATGTGTATGTGTACAGTAACTGTATTGCATTGCAGTTCCAATGTTTTAGCAAAGTAACAGAATACTGTAATTTACACTGTGAAGTCAGATTGTTCAGCAGAGTGCCAGCAATCACAAAATAAAAATGAAAAATAACAATAAAGAGAACCCAGGATCTATAAAAGCAAAACTGTCACATTCATATTTGATTTTTACTCTGCAACAGTGTTTTACACAAGCACTTTGGGTAAGCTATGAATTTATTAAAACAAGTTAATTGTTTACATTATCATAAAACTTTTGAATCTGAAGAAACGTCACAATAGAAACAGCAAATAAAAGGAAAAAAATGGCATATATATTTTCAATGAATCCGGTATGCTTTTCTAATGTCATGGATCGGCTGTGGTAAGGCAGTGGTTCCCAACCTTTTTCTTTGGGGCCCCCCCATGAACATATACAAACATTGGAGCCCCCCCACCATATAAATACACACGCACGCACATACATATGTACTGTGTGTGTGTATATATATATATATATATATATATATATATATATATATATATATATATATATATATTTATATGTGTGTGTGTGTGTGTGTGTGTTTGTGTAATATTAATATATAGTAATATGTATAGAAAATATTAATTAATCAGTTTTAACTTGTCTTGGCCTTCAATAAAACCAAAATTTAGGTAGGCTTTGTCATACTGTCTAATCTTTTTCTTCACCTCTGAAGAATCACTGCATTTACGTTTGTCTGCCATTTTTGTTTTGATTTTGCCTTTACGACACGTTGACAAGCAGATTGCGCGAGTGAGCAAAATTTAAATAATTATTTAAAGTTATTTATTTTAATTATTTTAACTATTATGTTGGAATTTTAAGCATGCGTTTAGATTTTTTTTTTTTTTTTGGTACTTAAAAATACATATATAATAGTAGGGCTGCTCGATTTTGGGAAAAATCATAATCACCATTATTTTGGTCATAATTGTAATTACGATTATTCAAAACCATTGCCAGTTAAAGTCAAAATTATTAGTACTCCTGAGATTTTTTTTTTTTTTTTTTTTATAAATATTTCCCAAATTATGTTTAACAGAGCAAGGAATTTTAACAGTATTTCCTATAACATTTTTTCTTCTATTTGTTTTATTTTAGCTAGAATAAAGAAAGGTTTAAATATTTTGAAACCAATTTAAGGTCAATATTATTAGCCCCCTTAAGCAATATATATTTTTGATTGTCTGCGGAATAAACTACCGTTATAATGACTTGCCTTATTACTCTAATTAAGCCTTTGAACTGCACTTTAATCTGAATGCTTGTATTTTGAAAAATATCTAGTAAAATATTATGTGTGCTGTCATTATAGCAAAGACAAAAAGAAATCAGTAATTAGAAATGAGATATCAAAACTATTATGTTCAGAAATAAGTTAATAAAATATTCTTTCCATGAAACAGAAATTGGGCAGGAAAAGGTTTGCTAATATTCAAGAGGGCTAATAATTCTGACTTCAGTTGTATACATACAGTTATTTTCCACCCTGCAAAGGAAAGAGAAATAAATACAATAGAATAAAAATATAAAACAAACTGTGCTTTAAGCATCTTCACTGTAAGAAAAACACTTTAGCTACAGCATTCCTTCAGTCAAGAGCAGCGAGGGTTTTCTCGTTATGTTTGTTCAATAATGATAAAAACAGCCGGCAGAAGGATTATAGCGCGCTGTATCTTTAATGGTTTCTCTTTCACGTCTTTTGATCCTCAACTCGTTTGTTTATTACACAAATGAGGGTTAATATAAATAATCACTAAACACCGCGTTTTAACACCTATTTGACCATTAAAGCGCTCACGTTAAGATGACTTTAGATGTCTGCGCTCCTCTGCTCGTCTCAGTGTGTGAATGAGAGTGAATGCTGACCGGCCGCATGCTTCTGACTGCGTGATCGTGCTGCACACACACATAAGCTCTTTCGCGCTTTTAAGAGCCATTTAAGAGCGTGTACAACTGGAACGTGGCAAAATATGATGCAATAATCATTTATCTCGATTAATGCTTTTTTATAATCGTTTGAAACCGAAATCTAAATCGGATATTCAATTAATTGCAAAGCCCTTTATAATAGTGGAGCATTTTTATGCCTTTTTCTACCTCAATACTTATCCTCTCCCGCGCCCCCCCTGTGAACTCTGGCGCCCCCCTTAGGGGGGCGCGGACCCCAGGTTGGGAACCACTGTGGTAAGGCACCTTCACTATTTCGCCTTGCCAGCCAGTAGTGCCACTGAATGAATTTCTAATGTTCTCTCAATATTTTTGTAGTCTTTAATTTGTGACCATTTTACACTTTGAGTGGACAGTTTCTGAGAATTAACCCTGTAATTGCACTGGTATTACAAGGTGAAACCTTCTAATGCAGCATTTGTTCTGCTATACAATGTTCACAAGTGCAGTACATGGTATGCAAACAGGTATGGAAAAACACCAGCAAGTACATATTGTTGTCATGCAATGCACTTACATAATTCTTGTTACAGATGTGTACTTTCCTAGTGTTGTTAACAATGTCCTGTTACACATTTAAACTTACACATACTATTCATTGGGTTGTTACATGTGTGTACACCAGTATTACACAAGTAAATACTATTTAGCAGTGTTTACTGTACATACACTGACACTGTAGTTACATACTACTTACACATCTAGTTACCGTGTTAGTTCACAGGTATAAGCGACAATATAAAGTGGGACACTGCTTCTTCAACAGACATTTAACTGACTACAGAAAACTTTGCAAGAACATGTCAACTTACACTACCCCTAACCCAAACCCCAACCTAACAGTCTACTTATAATCTAATGAGAATTAGTTGGCATGTAGATGCAATGTAACTTAAATTCACAAACAGACCATCACAAACAGACAAACAGACCATCAAAATAAAGTGTGACAAATTAAACAAATTAATAAGTGACTGTAAAAAAATGATATGGTTGTTGCGCTTTTCTGTGTAATATGCTTGTGTTTATATATGCCTATTGTAGTGTGCGCAATGTTTGTATATTTATAACCACCTCCGATAAATGTGGGAGTCGCCAGTAAGTGGCATTGTTATTTTAGGGGTAGAGGGCTGAAAAATTTGGGAACTTTTATGTTAGGGACATACTGTCAGGTAGTTTAGAGACAAAAGAAGAGACATTTGTTGTAATGGTGTCAAGTATTGTACAGGTCTTCATGCCAACTTATACTATATACCTGAGAGTGTGAATTGGTCCAATATATTTTCCAGGATGGTAATTGGCATTTTCTAACCAATAAGCTTCAGAAGCTAGTATTATGAAAGTAGAAATAGGTCATTGTGTTGTTATATACACTGTTAGACCTTACCAGGCTTTTTTACAGAAGAACACTGCCAACACTGTTGCCAGCTACTCACTGTAAAAGTTTGGTTACAGTAAGTAACTGGCAACAGTGTTGCCAGTTAATTACTGAAACTGAACCATTACAGTGAGTGGCTGGCAACAGTGTTGCCAGTTGTTAACTGTAACTGAACCATTGCAGTGAGTAGCTGGCAACAGTGTTGCCAGTTAATCACTGTAATAAAGCAGTAGTGGTAACTAACTGGAAACTGTGTACAGTTAATTGCTGTACTGTAGTGTTACAACTCACAGCATTATACTGCATACACAATAGTATGTCAAGGTGTTACTAAAATTAATTAGTATTCTTACCTGTTATTAATTCTTTAAATTAATTAAGTTGTAAATTCTGACAAATTTATTTTATTGTTTTGGCAGCAAACAAATATAAAACAGAAAATGTATAACAAAATTAAGAAATCAGCAGATATAAATATCATCTTGCATATTACTGAGAGCCCCAGGTCTGCACAGCAACACTGTTAGACATTTCTGTAAATTACACAGTTATTTACTGTATTTCACCCAGTGTAATACTGCAAATTCCTTTTACGGTAAATAACTGTATTTACCGTTGCATTATGGGAATTTAGTGTGACGTCGAACAACATATACAGCGATGTACTGTATTTGTAAAAATTCGTGTATTATACTGTATTTTCCACAAATGCTTCAACGCCACCTTGCGGCGATTCGACTACTCTGCACCACATTTTGCCTGAGGACCCTGGAGCAATTCTGGAGGACAATTTATTAGTGTGCCTGAAGAACATACTGGATTTAACAAACTTTACTCTGGTAAGCTGAGGCAGTGTTTCATTTTACAGAATGTTTTGTGGACGAGAATAGAACAAAGTAAAGTATAAAGTTGGCTATTATTATTTTCTCTGGCTTGGCGTTATTTCGCCCATTTGAGAAATATATCATCTATTAAGATGTTACCTTTATTTAATTTATTACATTAACACTGCTATTACTTTAAATAAGACTGTTTATGACTATTAGCCATTGTTCTCGTCATATCTTTTTATTTATTTACATAGGAACCGGTGTTGCAGCGGGTTTTGGTTTAGGAGGGAACCAGAGGTATGCAGACAGTTTTGGAGGACACTTAAGCCGAGACAACGGTCCGGCAGAGAGTGTTTTCCCCCAGAAGAATATGAATGAAAGACCATCAAATAATCCAGGTAAAAGCGCGTCTGTCTGTGCTGACAACACTCGACATTGATTTGAGCACCTCTATTAGCATTTGTTTGCTCGGCAACATTGGCTGAAGCGATCTTAAAATGGTAATGTTAACTGTTAGCTAAACTGAGCTAAGTTTATACTGAATTGGACTCAAACTCATTTTAACGTGCAACGTTTAACTTATATTGA